CCGGCATCGGCGAGACAGCTTCCTTGCGGATTTCACTGCCACTCGTCATAATCACCCATTACCCCACAGATAAGTCAGCACCATACTTTAAACAGACAGTCCGACTAGACGGCAGCAGACGCGCCACTGGTGTCCGCCACGAGCCATGTCCTGTTAAGTCTCGAGCAAGGACAAGGCGAGTCAGATTAACTCGAGCTCGGAAGGCGAGATGGGCCAACGGCACCCAGTTTGGTCGTCAGTGACTTCATTTCCCGATGCCAAGTCAACTTCTGTCCACCTCGAGCCTTGCGCCATCCTACACCTGGTAGACTGAACAAGGCCCTCCTAGCTAAGTGGCGACCAGGCATACGAAGCACGTGCCCGAGCCAACGCAACTTATTCAGTGCTATCTGTTGTTCTACGGAGCTAGCATGATTATCACTACCTAGTACTCGCCTACCCACCTCATTGTTGCGGAAACGCTGGTGCCATCCGACACCAGCAATACTTCGTAGACAACGATGATCAAAGACTTGAAGGCGATTAAGATCTTCAGACCGAAGGGGCCAAGTCTCACTGCCATAGAGCAGAACGGCCCTCAATGTGGCCTTGTATACACGGCCTTTCAGACGGAAGGAAATTCCCTTCTGTCGCCAAAGATGCCGCAGGTTCAAGAAGGCAGCTCTGGCCTTTGCAATGCGTGAGCTCACGTCAGTTTCTATGCGCCCATCAGTGCTGATGCAGCTGCCAAGATAAGTGAATTGATCAACCACCTCGAGTTCCTCGTTAGCAAGCGTCAAGGGGTCATCAAGTGGCTGGTAGTCCTGTAGCAAACACTTTGCATACCAAATAATAAACCAGTCTGGACAGGCTATTCAGGGTTGATTGTGCCGCCCCAACATCGTCGAAAAGCAAGACGATATCGTCCGCATAATCAAGATCAACTAACCTTTCACCAGGCAGCACTTCAACGCCTAGATCCTGAGATTCCCCAAGAGAACACCGCGTGATAGAATTCACGAAGAAGGTGAACAAAAATTGGGAAATCGGACAACCCTGACGAACGCCACTTGTGGTCCGAAAGCTATCCGATAGGACACCGCAGACCCTGACGCGACCTGTAGTGTTCGAGTATAGAGCACGAAGGATGTTCATATATTTCGTGGGAACATCTTTTCGCGCAAGTATTTCGAACAGAATCGATCGATCGACTGAATCGAACGCACTCTTGAAATCGAGGAACACAGCTATTCTCGGTCTGCGGTATGTGTGGTGCTGCTCTAGCACCTGCCGCAAAGTGAATATATGGTCTATACAGCCACGTCCTGGGCGAAAACCGGCCTGCTCTTCCCTATTCCGAGATTCCCTTTCCGCAGTGAGACGACGAACGAGAATCGAGGCCAGTAGTTTTGTCACAATTGGCCTTAGGCTAATACCCCTGTGGTTAGAACAGTCTGTGCGACTGCCCTTCTTGTATATTGCCACTATAGTCGATTCCCTCCAATTAGCCGGGACACTTCCTTCCAGATACGTTAGAATAGCAAGGTCAGTGCTATGCAAAAGACCTCACCACCATCCTTAAATAGTGCAGATGGGAGGGAATCCGGGCCGGCGGCAAGGAAACGATTTAGGGCTGTAATCACGTTTCGGAACGCGGCCTCCGAAGAAGGCTCTAAACTAACCGTCCATGGCTCGTCCTGCATCACCTGAGTAGGAAGAGATCCGAGAGCAGGAGGCAAGCTGAACTGATCTTCAAAGTGTTCAGCCCAAAGAGCCATACGGCGCTCCTTATTGTGTATCAGCGCACCTGCGCTGTCTCTGATTGTCTCACTGACGCCTGCTTTCCTGGGACCAGCGGTGCGGATTAGCTGGAAGAGCTTGCGGTAATTGCCTACTGCTCCTGCCTCCTCCATTTCTTGATCCCTACTGGGTTCACCAGGCTTCCTTGTCAACATGTAGGCTCCGCTTTAGTTCACGCCTAATAGCCCGTCTGGTCACGTGGTGTTCAGAGCCAGCCGGGAGGTGTCTTATAGATTCCAACATGTGTACCGACCACCCGGATATCCAGTGACTGGTGCGGTGACGATGGATAGTGCCACAAGCAAATGTTCCTGCGTCTTGCATGGCGGCCGAGATCCTATTCCACTGAAGCTCAGTGCCATTAGGACAAGACAGCGAAAGTTTGGTATACAATGCGTCTTGATAGGCTTACCTGACTGAGGGCTGAGACAATTTCGCCGCTGCCAATTGGAGGAGACGCTTGGTGCGCCTGCCGGTGAATTTCGCGGAGAAATGACAGCGCACGAACGCATGATCAGAGTCGGCGCAGTTATTCCAGTACGAGCGGCGATCCAGGATAGAACCCCGCCATCTGTAGCTTTAGGCTATTTGGTCAATTTGGGTCTATCGATGGCCAGCTACAGGAGGACGGCAAGCGCTAGGGCATACCTAAGAAGTCGTCTTGGAAGCATGTGGACTACGTGACCGAGCCAACGAAGGTGAATCTAGGTCAGTAAGCTTCCCAAGAAGGCACCGCTGGGGGAAAAGCTACATTTGGTCCTTCAACCAGATGTGAGAAATACACCACACACATACTCATGACTAAACGCAGTCAAATGTCTTAATGTTCTCGGCGCGCAGCGGTCAAATCCCTGATTCATGCAGCAACACTGGATGTAATGCGGTGTAGCAAATTCACTCACGAGCATTCAATGCGCTTACGTCACAGGCCGATGCATTTGCCTCAGCAGTAACACAAGCGCCAGAGTTGATACAACTATCAAAACAAACAAACTAATGATCATCTCTGCGGTGGAGATTTTATGATCGTAAGTACTGATGGTGTATCGGCCCAGTCTTGTAGCAACATTTTAGACTTTGAAGACGAATCACCATGTCTCCGCCTACTGTGCACGCAACCATGTCAACACATCGTAAGTCTTCGAAAGAATTTGGAACACTGGTAGCCCGGCTTGGTTGCTCACCTGTTGATGGTTTTTCGGCGCTTGATAAAACGATCGCATACGTTTCACCGCCATCCGAGGTGGCATTTTCAGTGGGGTGATAGGCAGTGTATACTCCTGGATCGTCAGTCCGTCATCCACGGGCAGGTAACAAGAACACATAGACATCAGAGGGCTTGTAAAAAACATTATGTATCGTCTCTTGTTTCGGCGCATGTGGATGAGGAGGGACATAGCTACAATGGGAACAAAACGGTGGTTTTATCTCAAACGACAACACAGAAAGGAAGAGAATTCCTTGAAGCATGGTACTCCTCTAATAATGCGATCAACATGCGCATCGACATTGACCCCGTGTACCATAAACTCAGAAAGAAAGATCTCCGGCGAATCGAAAGACATGGTTCAGCCGAGGAAGCAAATGGGCAGAGATCATGTGGCGCAAATCGAAATTGCCACCTTCAAAAGTCACCTGCCCGTGGATGAAGAACTGACGATTCAGGAGTATACATTGCCTATCACCGCGCTGAAGATGTCACCTCGCATGGTGGTGAAACGCATGCGATCCATTTATCAAGCTCGGAAAAATGATCAACAGGTGAACATCGTAAGTCGGTCAACTAACAGAGAAGCCTTAGGCGAGTGGAGACAGGATGCATGTGGTCATGATCGTTAAGCTCACATAGTTAAAAAGAGAAAAAGAAATAAAGTAATCCTAATGCACTCTACTTATCGTGACTAAATTGAGGAAAGAGCTCATCGTAGGCCATTACACGGTCACGGGAGTCGTGGTGTAAGTGCTTGAAAATAAAGAGAAACGGAAATATGCTAACCGTAGAAAAACAAATAGGAGAGGAGAACATCTGAATGACGAAATTGCGCTGGCGTAGGTAAATGGCAAAATCTATCCACAAAAAATAAATAAATAGATAAAGATTTTATTCTCGACAAGGCGACACATGCCTTTACAAGCATGATCATGTTAACATAACAATGCGTGATCAAGAATGTGCAAAAATTCGATATGCTTACCATAACAGTGTGCTTGTGTATATACGTAGGTAATTGTGTGGGTGTATGTAGCTGTGTAATTTGTGCTTGTAATTGTGCTACTCCATTCTTGAATGTTTGATATCGTCAGCAATCTGCGAGTAAAAGATTGGTGTCCGTGGGTTGGAAAGGATTATCCGGATATCCACAAGCCAATGACTTTATTTTGTGGCGAGTCACGACCGCCACATCACAGTGTTGTTAAGCAGACATTTGTGCTTTTCATAGTGAGAATGCTTCCCGGGCGAAAAACCCACCACATCTTATAATACTGCCGCCGAACTGCTTGCTGGAACGGGTTAAACCTGAACCACGCAGCTGGCACCAAGTGGAGGTTGTTCGGCTAGCCGCAGGGAATACTGGATGAACACAATACATGTGGCTGAGTAAGTTGCGGAGATTCGCCTGTGTGTGTGTGTGTGAGTCACAGAGAAGGTCGGGTGCGCAATGCGATTAACCTGTATGTGGCATGAGCTTAGTGACAAGCGGTTGCGAGTGTGAATGTCAGCGGAAGTAGGACAAGTCGAACAAGGTAAGAAGTGGCTTATTGAATGTAATCCAGTTGAAAATTGCTCAAGACCACAATGCAGATGGTATATTGTGGTCCAAACACTCCACAGTAGCACAATAATGGTGGAACTAGTGCAAAAACAAAAATAGCTGCAAATTGGCTCACTTTATCTTTGCATTAATGAAACTAGCGGAAAATGTGATATGGCTGCGCTGACTGAAGGAAGGCACATCTATGATGCAACGGTCGATGTTAAGCGGCGTCCTGACAGGTCTGTCAGAAAACTGGACAGAAACGTAATAGGTTAATGCGTCTTTAAGTGTAATTTCCGTAATTGCATATATGCTTTTGTCGGAAACCTGGGCAAGTGCTGGACAAGTGTAAATACATCAGTTTAAGTGGTTCAAGAGGAAGATGAGCTGAAAGATGAAATGGAAGGATCTAATCTGCAAAAAGTCTAGATAAAGAATACCGCGAACACGAAGATAAGAACTTACGATCACTGTCTGTCGACTGATCTGAGGTGGGGAATTCGTGACGCATCGCAGTGGGGGTGGTGCCGTGGTTTTGTTTCATCGCTGTCCGTGTTTCATGCTGGGAAATATTCGTCTGATCTACGGAAGGTATGTGCGACAACGAGGGGGGCTTTGCATTGATCAAGCCAGTGATGGGTACAATATAGAACCGAAAGGCAGCGGCCAATTCGGGTGACCGTGAGCTAAGCTGATCCACATAAGCTCTGAGGGCGAAACTGACCAGCATGTCGCCGCCGAGGACGCACAACTTGATCACATCGCAATCCGATGCCCGTCGAGTCTGACTTTGAGATTTTGTGACAAGACGAGCAAATAGCTGCTTCATCTCACCGTATGAAGTGACCAGATGGAGCTGAAGGTCGCGACCACTGAAAGCTTCAGCTGCAAGCTTAAGGAGTGAACGGGAGAGGAAGACAGAGAGAAGAAGAGCGCTTGCAGTAGCTCAAAGGAGGTCACAGTAAGGCGAGATGTCCGCAGTACGTTTGTTATTGCTAGTGTTATTTCGCTGCCAGGCAACACCACAAACATTTGATACCTCCTCACTAAGCAAGCTAATTCCATTTGCCCTTTGCCATAATATCTTGACCTACCTGTATGTGGCTCTTCGATCGTTCTAATTGAGGAACAAAATCCGCAATTTAACCGTTTATCGTCGAAATGCCATCATGTCTGCTCACACTTCCTCTCTATCCACATAACCGCTACACATACCGATGTTATAAAATTTCAATCACGTTTTTCGAGATCCGGACTGTATATTTAGTCCCCGAATCACTGCTAATCTTTTCCTTTTGTGCAACATTCCACTGAGTAATTCACCACTGTCATCTATTACGAAGACTTGTAAAACGAAAACAATGGTGTAATAATCAATGGTCCTGTACAGCAGTTCCGTAATTTCAGTTCACATTTCCCCTGTACCTCTTATGATCGGATCAGCCTTCTTGGGGTGTGACCACCACTTTGAGAACATAGTTATTATTAGTAGTACTATTATCATTATTAGCATCATTATATAATGCCGCCGAAATGACTAAACTTATGCAAGAGTGGAAAATGGGATGCAGAGCATGGACCGTGTCAACACGGATCTCGAAATACTGATTTCTGAGTGTCAAAAAGTCGCCCGAAGTAATATGACGAGCACAAAATTTTGCAGCCCGTCGGCGAAAAGCGCATGAGCAACATTTGTCCCCGCAAAATCCTATGAAATATGATCAGGCAATTACAACCAACACAAAGTTAAATGCAACTAACTAACAACTATGATCCGATCGATGAAATATAGGGAACTAGAATTTCCACGATACAACGCGAGTCAATATCAATGAAGGTGGTGAGTTAAGAAATATGTAAAAAAAATGCGAACGAGACTGTTGAAAATGAGGAGCAACAGTGAACATTTCACCGACTGAGTCGTACAGGGTTCAATCTAACCAATACTGATGCAACCCGAGGCTTTCGGTACTTTTGGTACCACTTGGCGTAAGCCGTTACATGAGCAAGCGATAATTTTTTTTGTTCACACAGGTTACGTCATCACTGCGCTCAATGTTGTTCTGTATGCTTGTATACAATATTTATTTTACACCATCATTATTCGGCAACGCATTTAACTCGGTAGACGCTTAAACAGATGTGATTCATATACCTACTGCCTTTGTAGTTATCACGTCAACCATTCTACGTGGCCTGTGAAGCCCCGGCTTTTTAACTCGTGAAAAATCATTGTTCATTAAATACCAGCTAGAGCACATCAGAACCCGGTGGTCCTAGCAGAGATGATGAGTAAGGTAAAGAGTATTGGTTAGAGAAGAAGACTCAAGGTTTGGGATCAACGCGCAATAGCCTTAACAAAGTCTTCATAGGTGACTGGCACTGAGAAGTGGTCTCGCCAACGCGTGTACTATCCTACTTGGAGAGTGGATTGCAAAAGTGATGTGATTCGAAGTAGCCAATTAGATCTTGCAGAAGTACTGAACATACTGCATCGCGTCATCCAAGGATTGAATCCGACTCCAACAGATTTGTTGTCCGTGTATTCTAAATTCCCCAGTCGGTAACTCAATAGGACAAACAGAACGGAGCTGTTATCATGATCGCTCCGGTCACGGAATCGGATAGAAGCAGTGAGACAGATTAATAGAGTACTGACACATCTTACTTGTTGCGAAAATCACTCATATCATCTGTAAAGATGTTCCTCTGTGAAACACAACACCACGAACTGATACGGTTGAACGAATCAAAAGATACTTGTGAGTCAAGTATCATGGTCGTGGTAGGTCATCTGTATGATTACGTCCGAATACCTAATGAAACGCAGATGGTATGAACAAATAAATGCCCTGAACTGAAGAGTAGCCGTCAAGCGCTCGCAAAAGATCGCACGCCGGTTGGGTCATTGTCAAATGGAGCATGGACTCGAATGCGGGGAGCACAGACTACGAGTTCGACGTTCCGCAGCGCATGTTAAGAACTAAACAAAGAAAGAGACAAGCGAGACCCCGTTGTACTACGCGCCATAGCAACCGAGGCTAATACTTGCATGATCTCCGGATAGTGCTTCCCGTAAAGGTGAGAATGAATACAACGGCAGTTTGTTAAACGCGACGGCCAATCCGGCCCATAACACACAGAGGCCATGTCTCTGACCCACAGTAGTGTGAAAGATCTTTCTTCGCCCTGAACGCTGATGCCTCGGTGCCCCTATAGATGACTGAAACTGATAGAAGTCTGAGACAATAAGTTTTAGAGACTTCAAACTGAGAATAATTCAAATACATGTAGAGAGAGATGAGACAAGCAGTACGTCAGCACCTTGTACTGATGCGTCGCTGCCGTGAGATTGTTAGCAATTGTACGTAAGCAGCTAAGTCCATGCAGGAGTGCGGAGACTCTAAATCGAGGTGTACTAGCTACAAGCCAGGTGACTAAGCCAACACACACCCCAGGGAAAGTAAGCCGTGAAATAGTATAGCTATTTCGTAGCCAGTGGTCAGTTGCAATAAAACAACTGTGGCTATAGTCCGGAGGGTGCAAGCAGTAGAGCGAAGAAAGAAGCGGGTTCAACACACACACAACTTCATGGCAAGGGAAGTTGCGAACGACTATGCAAGCTCAATTAGAAGACCAAAAAGAGTATGAAAGCAGTGAAAATACAAGGCTGCCATGATTGCCTGGGATGAAATCGGAATCATATTTCAAGGAAAACTGGCTGTAAATTTGTTGAAGGCTTGACATTACAAAGGCGCGGGCTTCGAAACGGCCGTTGCTGTTTCAACCTGGAGTACGGCTTTTGCGCAACCCACTGTTGTTGCTGATCTCGCATTTTTGTTTATATAGATCATTGTGTGGTCATTAAAGTTATCCTGCTAAGCCGACGTTTGAAGTCGTTGCGGGACGCTGTGCGAAATGCGCTTTATGCCATATATATATATATATATTTATATATTTATATATATATTGGTTGGTGGCATCCGTTTTCGGATTTGCCTATCACTGTGGCCAGCCACAGGACGCCTGCGCCTACAGAGGGATCACGGGTGGCTTGCGCTGCACCACCCACAGCTCCAACCACATACCCCATATCCAGTGTAAACGCGAAGGAATAAGACCGGGAAGCATGTGGATGGGAGCCACGTTTCATCAACGGAGCCGACCCACACTCCTTCACAGGCAAACACAAGCACGCTGTAGTTGAAAATCAATCGCACACAAGGCGGTGGTTGGACCGTAGTCCGCTCCACACTGAGTGCATGAAACCACTCTTCGAGCCTAGCACGGCCACAAGGACCGTGCACCCCGTCCCCTCCAGCAACGACCAACTGTCTCCTGGAGCCAGTATGAACGAGGTAGTGGGTAACAGGTAGGCACTTTGTCAACATGCACATCAAGCGCAACCACACCGGGGATATCAAGCAACAGCCAATCACTTGAAACGACAAAATGAAATAAAATAAATCCAATAATGCATAAAGATACGGTGGAATAACTCTTCCCTAAATTACCATATGAAGTAACTTGGTTAGCAACGAATCCGCGATAAGTGAGAAATGTCCACAAGTTACTTAAAAATGCTACAAACGCAACAAAATTACCGAAGATAAGCGCAATTAGCGTAAACAACGTGGCCAGTCAATAGAACATTATTCAGGTAGGCAGAACAAACCAAATAAAGTGGAATGAAATTTAGCCAGCTTAAAAACATCTAGTTTAAGTGTAAGTTGGTTTAGCACAACTGCAGTGAAGACGCATCAATAATGCAACATCAGCCTCAGCATGGGGAACATATATATATATATATATATATATATATATATATATATATATATATATATATATATATATATACACATACATATATTTGGTTGGCGGCATCCGGTTTCGGATTTGCCTATCACTGTGGCAAGCCACAGGACGCCTGCGCCTACAGAGGGAGCATGCGTGGCTTGCGCTGCACTACCCACGCACCCCATGTCCAGTGTAAACCCGAAGGAATAAGATCGGGAGGCACGCGGATGGGAACCACGTTTCATCAACGGAGCCGGCCCACACTCCTTCACAGGCAAACACAAGCACGCTGTATTTGGGGAATCAAGCACACACAAGGCGGTGGCTGGACAGTAGTCCGCTCCATACTGACTGCATGGAACCACTATTCGAGCCTAGAACGACCACTAGGACCGTGCACCCCGTCCCCTCCAGCAACAACCAACTGTCAGTTGGAGCCAGCATGTATGAGACAATGGGTAATAGACAGGTAGGCACCTTGTCAACATGCACATCAAGCGTAGCCACACCGGGGATGTCAAACAACAGCCGATCATTTGAAATGACATTATCAAATAAAATATATATGTTAAAGAATACCGCTATGAATATGAAGTAAGTTGGTTAGCGACGAATCCGCGTTAAGTACAAAATGTCCAGAATTTACTCAAAAAATGCTACAAACGCAATAAAGTTAACGAAGATAACCACATTTAGCGAAGCAACGTGGCCAGTTAATAAAACATTATTCAGGTAGGCAGAACAAACCAAATAAAGTGGAATAAAATTTATCCAACTTAAAAAACTAGTTGAAGTGTAAGTTGGTTTAGCCAAACTGCGGTGAAGAAGCATCAAGAATGCAACATCAGCCATCGGAATCATGGCTGAATAAGAAAACAGTATGAATTCTAAGAAAAGAACAACAACAAAAGTTTTTTGTACAGTTTACCACACACAGTTTTGAAATATTTTCGGTTTGTTTTCTTAGAGGAGGAAGAAGAGACACCGAAACACACTGATGCATACGTCCGCCACTGATATCCATCTTGAGCCATGGCTTCCAAGGTATACAACCAGCAAGTAGCCGCATCTCTCAGACCCCAACCAGGTAGTCGACAACAACCGGCCGAGGCTAACTGTTTCGCCAGCTTTTTCATGCGGCTTTTCCAAGTTGTAGGCAGTCCACCGGACCGTCTCTCCCAGCCCTGTCCAGCAACCGCAAACAACGCAAGATGCGGGTAACGCTGAACAGGCATGTGCAATACGTGTCCCAACCACCGCAGTTGATGCAGTGAGACCAGCTCCTCGAGCGAGTTGCTTCCACATTCCAAGACATGCTGTCTAATTTCCATATTGCTTACGTGATGCCGCCACCACACACGGGCAATGGACTGCAGACAGCGGGGCTCGAAGATGGATAGCCTGCGCAAGTCATCTTTACGAATGGGCCAGGTCACGCATCAGGATAACAGTACAGCACGAACAGTTGCACAATAGACCCGCCCTTTGATGGAGAGACGAATGTCGTGGCGATGCCACAAGTGCTTCAGCCTAGAAAAAGCGAGGAGTGCTCTTGAGATACGCATCGAAATTGCGTCTCCACAAACCGCGCCAGCAGTGATGCAACTTCCCAAGTAGACAAAGCTCTCCACAACCTCTGGTGTCTCACCGACAAAAGTGAGTGTAGGCAGAGGCACCTGCCAGTCTTGGAAGAGAACCTGGCATTTCGATGGCGAAAACTACATACCATACTTTAATGCCTCAATCGTCAAACGGTTTAGTGCAAATTGGACGACGTGTGGAACGTCACCTAGCAAGACGATATCATCAGCATAATCCAAATTAACAACTCGACTACCTGGGAGGAGCTCAACGCCAGCGTTCTACGAATCGCCCAGAGCGTTTTTCAGGACATCCTCAATGGCAAAACTAAATAGGAACGGAGAGATAGAGCATCCTTGCAGAACTCCACCGGAGACCACAAAAGTAGGCGAAAGCTTGCCGCATACGGTCACAAGGTCAGAAACACCATCAGAAGGAATGTTATGGCAACTCTTTGGTAGAAGTAGAAAGCACCGTGACCTCTGGTAAGCTGGATTCAGACGATGTCTTATTAATAAAGCGCAAATTCCGTTGATTCACTCTTGAAACATGCGCTCTTTACTTTGTAAAATGCCGAAGTAAGTGCCACTATGCAGCTTAAGTAACATGCAAACGCAGGTAGAATAGTACTATCAGAAAGTTGGTTACATTCTGATGTGGATGATGAGGTTATTCAACTCGATGGATACCGTGTGTCGTGAGGTCCGACAGCCAAGGAAAGCCGAAAAGTCGCGGAGGAGGCGTTATCACCTATGTGAACCAATCATGGTGTAAGTAGGCTACCTTGTCTCTCTACGTACTCAACATCGAAAAGTAGCTGTCATTTAATCAAGTATAGACAGAAATTTCTGGGTGGATTTCTTTCCGTCATTAGAAGTAGCTAAAAAAAACCCGACACACAATGAACTGAACCCAGAAATTTGGCGCTTCACTTCTCAACAGTGTTACCGCTTAAGATCGAGTGCTCTGTTTGTTTGTGTTGGTGCTGGTGGCCTCAAAAAACGTGATGCGACGTTTGTTCAGACACTTGGTCTAACAATGTGGTATTTTTAGAAACCAGACTTGATGCACAGTTGGATTCTGTTTTCACAAAAATTAAATTGTTTTCTACTTTAAAGAGAGCTCCTCTCGGCAACTCAGACCACTGACTTCTAAAATATATGCGCAATTATTTACAACAAGAGCAAAATAGTCTTTGAAAAAATGCTGAAAATGTAACGACTAAGGTGCAAAATGCCTATGCTGACTTGACTTTATCGAGGTATTGCGTTAAAAGGTGTTAATAGCATGTAACGAAGTATGATACAACAGTGTTCGGAATGAAGTGCATCGCGAACAAACGTAACTCAGTGTATAAATGTATTTTACTCAACAAAGTGCTCAAAGCCGTGCAAGAGTAGGAGCTCGAGTCCGGGATCAGAGGTTGTAAGCCATGTCTTTATTAGTAGTGGCAGCAACAGTACTGGCGGTCTAGTGTAAGACGACGTAGTCCCAAAGGATGAAGGGCTAAATGTTCTCCAAAATAAGACGGACTTTTTTGGTTGCAGTTGCAAAAAACCGCAAAACAATTTATGTGAAATGGCGCTACTGGAAGTCAGAATGCAAGCTATAAATATATAGACGGCTGTCACATGTTTGTGGAAATGAGTTGACGGAAACTGTCCGTCAACTGAGAGAAACTAGTGGTCAATCAAAGTGTTGCCGAACAGTTCACATCAGTAATCATAACCGCCGAGTTTCATCGCAACACATGGACACTTTCGAAAGCTACGTCTAGACTATTAGCAATACTCACAAATCACGAAATTTGGGATGAAACCTTAGGAAAGATAGACAGAAGAAAACTTACCTTACCACCCGGTTCCAAAGGATTAACCAGAAAAAGGACATTCCCCAAGTAGTCGATAGAGCAGGTGGAGAATTTTTCTGCCTGAAAGGTATGGCAAAGCGCGCATTAGAAAGAGTTAAATGACCCATGGAAAGACAGTGAAAAATAACGCAAGAAATTGAGTCTAGGGAAGTGATCCAAATCGATCCGAACATAGCAGTGAGGTGATTCGAACTGCGCGAGAAACCGATCGAAAAATACGGAACCAGAGGAATAGGAAAAAGTTGGTTAAAAAGGAATGGAAAAAAAGAACAGTCGCTAACGGCGCTTTAGAAAACGTTATTGGGAACTACCATATCCGGTGGAATGGTGCTCTACCGCCGATGCAGAAGTACCAAACCAGGTGAACAACAAATAAAGTAACACATGTGTGAGTAGCAACATGTCGGAAATTCAGTAAAACTGGGTGGGAATCGTAAACGAATCACCACGAGCCAGCTCAAGTAATAATAGTAAATAATGTGTCAGCTGTACGCCGTAACGGCGTTTCGCTGCCGCGCAACCACCATCAGTCGCGCGCGAGCTGAGTATACCGCGAGGGCGCTCATCCCTACGCGGATTCGAACCGGTGACCTTATGGTTGCAAACCAAACGTGCAGACCATTCGGCCACCGGCCACGCAATGTGCAACAATGGAGAATCGGTTACTAAACGACGAAATTCGGTAACAGATAACCGGCGATCCATCCCATCAGAAATTACTAAGTTTGACGAGACAATTGTGATAAAACGTCGCCATCTTTCGTGCCTTTCCGCACACAGATGCGTCGCCAGATAGTACGTACTAGTGTTGATCAATAAGCGCATATCCAATATTCTACAACATGAGTGGAAGCCTCGGAAAGTAACGCGGAACCTTTTAGTGTACGCCGTACCGACGCTTCGCTGTCACGCGACAACTACCAGTAGCGTGTGGGCTAAGGATACTGCAAGGGTCGCCCGATCCCCTAAGCAGGTTCGAACCGGTAACCTCGCGGTTTCAGGGAAGACGCCTTGTCCTTTCGGCAACCCGGCAGCCGCTTTGGTGCATATTAACCTACAACGTGATGAGGACGCCCGGAGCGATACAACTACTTAGGCTGATGAACCGGTTAGGAAATCGTTCGGTGGTGATGAGAACCGGCGGAATTTTCACTCAGCTCTGTAACAAAACTATGCGATTTGAAGGTAACAAGCCACGCGTCATCTCTATCACTTGAGCATGCATGGCAATTGAGTACGAATCAACGGACAGAACGAATCCAAACGTGATAGGTAAGACGCAAGGGAGGTGCGTTAAAAGGATGAGCAGATTGGCGAAAACGAATGCGTGAGAAAAAGCGTTTAAAAAGGTGGAGCCTTGATGTGGCGGCTTGCATCAAAACCTGGGACCCCACGACCCGTTTCATCCTGGTATGCAGGGGTGAAACTCGGAACCTAGTGTTTAACAAGTGACGTTTTGACCAACAGGCAATTGATACCTGTGAGCAACGACTGCCACAGCGGTTAAAAAATGAAAGTCGGCTTTTGAGTACTAGTCGATGTTCACTTCATCGTAAACTGAATTCCCAACAGTGATGGTATGTCGCAGTCCAATGGCAGGTTCACCAAATCCCAACTTTGAATTCCTAACCGCTGCGCAGTGTTGCGTACGGATCTCAGTGGCCCAATGATCAAAACGCCCGCCGTTGACCATTAGAACCCCAGTCCCATTCTCAGCTCAGGGTATATCTGTATAAAAGTTCCCAAGAACGATGAACATGTTTGGTTGGATGCACTTATTGGCATGGCCCAGAGCCGACTTAACGGGGTTTGTGCTGCTAGTTTCTTTGCCCTTCTCACTCCCGCTTAGCTCACTCCTCCAACCAAGATCTCTTACTGGGAATCTAATACACTAAACCAATAGTACTGATTGGAGTGTCACTTTGAAGCACTCGTAGTCCCCTGAGCTATTGCTTGGATTGGCTGCTGCTACCTCTCCGAAGCCACATAGGTCGACCATATTTCCTTCTATTGGGTGATTTCATTCGTTCCCTAGTACGCTGGCCGAAAGGTGATCGCATGCCCAGACAATGTAAGATCGAAATCAAGTTTGTGGACTTTGTAGTTGAAAGTGGAGCGGCGCAACACATATAATAGCCGACTCGAATATCACCGCACTCAACTCCGTCGTGCAAAAACTTGATCTTAACAAGCTGTGGACAACATGTGTATGACGTTCAGGTCGTCCTGGAGCCCCTAGCAGTAAGCGATCACTCATTGCTCATAGCTAGTATGGATTTATTTTTACCGTATTCCCGTTCGCTGGAGCCAGCTTGTAATTACTGGAAACTAACTTCCACAGTCTAACTCAAGCCGTGGTCCCTACCTCAAACTGCATCTGTGGATGATTGTTGGATTGTTATTAGAGACAGTGCGACATTAATGTGCTCCCAGTTTGTACCATTGAAGTGTCGGAAAGATGCACCGTTCAAACCACATTAGTTCCACAAGTATTATGGTAAAATGACTCATCAGCGGCTCAAACTGTGAGATGAATTCCTCCTCCAAACAAAAACGAAGCCAGTTATGGAGTGTGGTGTCTGGAACAAGAAGCACACGATGCACTACCAGCAATGTTGATGATCGGCGGTTAGTTCAACGTAAACCATGGTCTCAAGCGATACCGCGCGTCGCAATCCAGACACATAGAGTAAGTGCTCAAAATGCAAAAGATGAATCAGTAAAAATTCCTAGGTTGGAATGTCGACGAAAACGCTGGATACGTGCTCCAGATTAGCAGTTAATGGGAAAGGAGAGAGAGTAAGCGAGTGACTATATTAAATCTATCTACTATTCTCTTGTAACCAGTAATGTGCCCAAAATAGCTACAATAGAATGGGTCAAATAGTGAGAAAAGTAAGAGAAGCCGTTGCTCAATCTTTGTATGGTACAATTAGTAAGTCAGTCCACATGCGTTCTTTTCAATGTACCTGGGTCAGAGGTCATAGCCACGCAATCGTAAAAATAAGGTAGCAGGCTAGGTAGGGCAAACAAAACACACAATGCTGACAATTCCGGAAAAGGTGAAAGCATTTATGCCCTGAAAGACAGTGTGACACAAGACAGTCGCGCGTTCAACCCTCCTGTACAGTTGCGAAACATGGTCCATCAGGTAGACAGATATAAAGACGCCAGTAACGTTAGACCGCCAGTTTCTTCGTAGCTTAGCTCGATTCTGATGGAAACGCCGTGTGAGCAACGAGCGCGTTCGGCGTCATGTCAATGGTCATGAAGAGGATGTAAGCCGATCAGCAACATTTTATCATGCACCAGAGTCTGATGGCTGAGCCGCATGTTACACATAACAGCACACTGAATGCCACGGCATACGCGACCAGGATCCGGAGGGGAGAAGAAAAGGGAGAGACACGCGATGACCTGGTCAAGATGTAGAAAGATGCTCACCTCAAAGATGTCGTCGGTTGGTGTCTCCTGATTGACGTGTTTGGGTGTGAAAGATGATGAACACGTATGGTTGGATACATTTGTAGACAGGGCGAAGAGCTGACCACAATAGTGTTTTTTGTTGAATTTCCTTGTCTTTCGCTCTCACGCTTATCTTCCCGCTCCAAGCACGATATCGAAGCACACCATGATATTAAGGATTATACGAAATCCTACTGGCGTTGGGCTTGCATTCCGCAGTGTTTTGCATCTCGCTTCATGCATATACCTTATCGTTTTGTATCGCAGCACAATAGCTAAGATGTTTCTCACCTTTAGCAAAGCTGTAATGATGAACATACTATTTTGATGAATAAAGAGCCAAGGGATTTCGTTTCAATAATCATTGCGAGCATACTAAATGGAAACATGTGTATCAAGTACACAAAAGTAGCACCATGACGCAATGCAATGTTACGTGAAAACTACATGCAGACCGCAACAGCCAGCGGCTGTGACTCCATCTCATCATCCGTTACCCCTAGTATAGAACGAGATCGAAAAATAGGAGGGTTCGGATAAAATCAAAAGATAAGTCTCTGACGAAGTTCCGGATACATACTGTGTTGTTTGCTTTGTAACATTAAATCCACATTGGGATGATTGGAGTTGAGGAGAACGTTTGTCATTGGCAGCAGAGAGCGGGGGGTTCGGGCGGGAGACCCACAATTTCAAACAGCTTCATCAGCTAAGGTCTTATTAATGGAATTGGTCAATGTCCGCTTCAATGCGAGTCACGGACCACATTGAAATTGCATCTTGCAATCCAATCACATAACAAGTATCTCAAAACGACCCTCCAATCAAAACGCAGTTTTCCGAGGCTCCAAAAGTTGTGTACACGAGACCACAGTGATAGTCGCGCTCGCTAATGAAAACGAAGAAAGGGTTAACCGTGGCTCTCAGTAAAATGTGTACGAGCTCGTTCAGGACCTCCTTTCCAGAACACTGCCAGTCGTGAAGAATTTATATGATGATGTTCAAGTACTTCGACGATTGGCCCTGTTTCCGCCTACTCATCGGATCTCTTCGCCAATCGGAGGTTAGTGATAACCACGATCGCCAGTCACATGCCATACAGTAGTGCAACATCAGGCTGGGGGCCAACGGCACGCAAGCCAAAGTGGTTTTAATTGAAGCTTCGGCAACACCGATATAAATCTATCTTGAGATTGACAACCATTGCTTGTAATGCTCGGTTCAGCAAACAATATGAAAGTGTTTGGCCGAAATCCTTATAGGTCAGCTTCAAGTTCCTGCTCTGGCTAACTCTGTCCGAAGGATTCAAATAATAATGGAAGTGGCGGTTAATTCTGACGACCGGAGCAAGTACCACGGATTTAATTCACACCAATTAGAGACTGTCTGCCAATCCTTAGTGAGAGTTAAAGTTCATCCCAATCAGATTACTAGCAAGATAGGCTAAGCACCAATTCTGAAGAGCATTAAACGGCCGTTTTATCCTCTAAAGACTCCTTATTGGTGTGCATTGCCTCAGTCTATCTCAGGCAAGCGAACTCATGAAGGCTAGTGGCTTACACCACTGAAGTGCTTGTACCACTGAGTCATGGAGGACG